CATAAATAAAGAGATCAAAAATGAAATTTCTTAGTGGGCCTTTCAAACATTTCCATACTATTTAAATGGTGAAGGATTAATCTTCCTTCTTATTACTAACAACATGCTAATTCTCAAAATGCTCCCATAAGTTACACACTTTGGCACAATCTTAGAAATTTCATTGAGAATTTGCCTAACAAATGAAAGTGATCATAATTAGAGCATATTAAAGTCAGTCTGAGATGGATGAAACTGCTTGGAACTGGTAGATGTAAAAAGATCAAAATAGCAGCAGTATTTGTAGTTTCCTTGAGGTAAGAAAGGTGAAAAAGCCACAATCAAAAATTGGGGATATTTGCAAATCTGCTGGGAAACTCAGCTGAAAGATTTAGACAGGTATCCTTCTAGACTGATTGTGTGCCTTAGTAATCACATTTTCTGGCAGAAACAATCAAAATAATGGATAACACTTCCTATCAAAGGGGTAATCTGTTACATATTTTAACTAATAAATTAAATCAACAGGCATACATGACAGACTCACCGAAGGGACGTCCAATATCATTTCTTCCACAGTTGGTAAGTCTAAGCCTACCCTGGCACTGAGAACTTCAAATATGTATTTATATGAAGCATTAACTTTTGCTCTTCGATCTTCTCTTGCTTTTTCATATTGAATCTAAAACATTAAACAAGACTTTCAAGCTAAAAATACACAAAGTAATCACAGCAATGACCTGCTACTTAACTTGCAACTAATGCTGAAATCTACTGTCTTGTATTTACAGCTGCAAAATGCCCTAATTTTAAAAGTACCTAAATTTTCAGAGGCTAACAGAAGAACAAATTATTAATTGTTATTATAAGATGTGAAGTCAAACCTGAGGATATGTCAAGGAAAAACAAACATTAAGAATATTAAGGTGGATTTCAAGATTTTTATGCGACATTAACTGGCTTCCTTGTTCACAATCAAAATTCCAATTTATTAAATTAGTACAGAAAAGTTAAAACATCCATTTAAAATAAAGTATCTAGGGTGGGTAAATATTTGCAGGAACTAAGCTGAGTACAGCTTTGCTTCATTGTAAATTATTCAGTTACTATCTCCTGCTTCTGACCTCTATTACTTTAAAACTTTTAAATATTACAAACATGGGGAAAAAGACTCACTTTCTGCCAGAAATAATTTAGTAAAAAGAAGTGAGTCTAAACAAAAATTTTAAAAATTAAAAATTTAAACTAATGATTAATATAAATTGAATTTAATAATCTGAGGAAAGAACCAGAAACATAACCTTTCTTGCTTTGTAACTTTGCGTGCTTGGAACTCCACTAGGGCGGTAAAACTTGGAAAAACTTTGACTTCCAAAAGAATGAGATGAAGAGGAAAGGCTCGCTAATCGTTGAGCTGTTTGAGGAGATCTACCTAATTCTTCTCCAGTGGCTGAAACTTTTTCATTATTTTTTGGTACCCCCGCCATTCTAAAATCTGAAATTTGAAAAGAGAAGATTATGTTTATAACAATAAAATCATTTCAAGTCTACTTTTTGCAGAAGACAGGATCATCGCAAAACTGACTTTAGAGGTATATAAATTTAATAGTCTCATCAAATCCTCTTCCAGTTCATAAAATGCTAGACATTATACACATTTTTATGATAGGTTACAAATATCAAGATGAAGATTAAGACTTTTTTAAAAACAATTTTTCATACACGTGCATTTCATGGCATGAATAAGCCTTTCTATATAATAAATATCTTTTAAAATATAAATAATTTCAGTGCATATCTGATTACTGAGAAATATAGATGGGTTCAAACTCAAATGACTTAAATTTTAATTTCTAAAATATATACCCAAATTCAGGAACTGAGCTAACAAAAAGATTTGCATACACAGAAATTGCTATTCTGTTCAGTGTACTATTACAATAAGGATTAAGATAACTATCAAGAATTTCTTAGTAGTTCATATGAGGCCTAAGGGCAAGCCTCCCACTGCTGTAACAGTGTTATATACTGTTTAGCCATTATTACCTGATTTGGGAAATAAAAATTCAAAGGGGAAGCTGACATGAAAAGCATCACCTGAAAAGTAACACCTGGTTGTACATTACTTGCTCCTTATTTTTGCCCATGTAATAGGTGACAAATTGGCTGATGTTCTCTGGCTTTAGGCATGCAATCAATCACCTGCCATAGAAAGTGTTCACCTCTTTCTTGAAGTAAACATACCATCAAAAAAACAAAAAAAACAAATTTAGGAAAGTCACCAAAAAAAAAAAAGTGAAATGCAAATTAATTATATTTATTTATTTTTCTACATTTATTTCATATTTCTATGACTGTAGATGGCCTGGCCATCTACAAGATTAGCAGTGGTACTTTCCTCCTTGCCTATTCCACTCAAGTGGAATAGGTTGGATGCTGATTTCCCTGCCTTTTAGCTGGTTCACTTTTAGCTGATACTTACCCCTAAAGCACAAGATGAGAGAGGTGGGGTTCTCGCAGCTTTCTTTTAAAAACCCACAAAAGCTGCATTATATCCTGGCATTATCACTGCCTCTCCAAAATTTATAGTCAAGATACCTGGCAGTTCAGGTTAAAGTCTCATACTTTTCAAAAACCTGTATGAGTTCCATCTGCCCCCCTCTCCCGGCTGGAATAACAAACATGCTTTTCTGTCAAAGTCTCCTTTCCTTCCCCCCAGGATGCTCCAAAGCTTCTCTAGAGGAACTGCTCATTCAAGGAAAGTAGGTCTGGCTTCCCGCATCATTTTAGGAGGATTGAAGGAGAATGAGAGGGAAGGAGAATGGGAGGGAAGGAGAATGAGAGGGAAGGAGAAGTGGCGGAGTGCCGAGCATTGGGAATACAGCCTTTCGGCTCTCTTCTAAAAAGCTAAGCTGAGCTGCCTTAGCCTGCACTTCAGCTTTGGCAGAGAGATGCAGGAGAGATGCACAGCTCACCGACCTGGCCGGAGCTGTGTCTCCTCACAGGGAGGGCAGCGGGGCGCGGCCCCCCGGCAGCGCAGCGCTCACCAGCTCTCCCCTCAGCGGGCGGAGCGGGCGGTCTAGTGCCCGCCGCGGGCAGACTCCTCCCGCTTCGGCGGAGTGGCCGGTGCCGGTAACGGGAGCCCGTAACTGCCGCGGGGCGGCTCGGGCCGGCGGCTCCAATGCCCGCCCGGCAGCCGCGGGGCTCGGAGCGCGCTGCCGGCGCCCGCCCGCTGCGGCCCGCGCACAGCCGACCAAAATTCGCCTCCCAGAACCCGAACCGTCATTTCACCGTAAAGATCTCGTGCTCCTGGGAACCGCTTGCCCGCGCGGTTGGCGTAGTTAAGTCTGCCCATGGAAGTTACTTGAGTAACGCAGACTCTCTGTGCTGTGCAAGTGCTTTGCTCTCGATTATAAAACGTGTGGAGTTTTATTCTTTTTTTTCCCCACACAGGGAATTCAATCCTGGTTTTCATTCTGCGTTTTTGAGAGAAATACTATTCTTCACTCTTACGCCTGAAATGATATTTTTATACTAAAGGACAATGTGTAACTCCAGAGGGTGAAGAGATGACTGAAAGGGGACCTCTGTGTATCTAAATCTAAAGGAGGGGTGGAAGGGGAGTGCCAAGACGATGTTTCCAGGCTCTTTTCTATGGTACCAATCAATAGGATAAGAGATAAAAGGCAGAAAGTGATGCACGGGCAGTTCCACCTGAACATGAGGAAGTTCTTAATGTGGGTGACTGAGCCCTGGAACAAATTGCCCAAAGAGGTTGTGGAAGTGTCCTTCCCTGGAGATAGTCAAAACCCATCTGGACACAATCCTTGTACTCTGGGATAACACTGCAGGTAGATTGGAACAGGTCCACTGTGGTCCCTTCCAATCTGGCTGATTCTGCGATTCTCTGACAAATGCTACTTGAAATATTTTCCCAGCACCTGGAAGCAAAAGCAGAAATCAACCTCTGTCAACACTAAACTAAGGCTGCCATGAGTATGATACCAAGGCAAGGCCAGGATTCCCAAACAGCCTGATACTGCCAGGATTTATGAAAGCAGCACCATTCCAGTGGAGCTGGGTTATCAGCTGTGTCTGCTCTAGCACTGGTGTGGTACCCTCAGCCTCTGGTGGCAACTGGAGGGATGTGTTGTCAGGTCACCATAGGGGATCCTCACGTTCATGCCACATTTCAGCTAAGTAATGCCACAGTCAGGGAAGCCCCTTCCTTTTGATCCTTATGTTGTCCTGAATGCAGGCTCATTACCTATGCAGCATCAATTCACACACAGAGGCAAGATATTTCTATTTTTTATTCTAGTTTGCTCCAAGTAGGGAGCTGGGTGGCAACGCACAAAATGCTGGCTCCCCAGTAATCAAACCTTTACAGTATTTATAAATGTCAACAAACAAAGGCATCAGCATTCATTGATTAGAAATTACATAACCTTGCTATTAATTAGTGCTCAATCCAGTTTTCGCTAGTTGTGTCTTTCACTTCTAATGCTAATCAGTCCACAGGTGCAATTCTTCCTTCCATTTGAGTCTGGGACTTGTTTTGAGTGGGTGGTCAATTAGTAAGCAGTCACAATTGCCCGTTGCTGGGATTCTCTTTTTCCCACTTACTACTCAGTTTTGCTGACTTCACTCTTGGTGGCTCTAGTCCAGACAGCCCATTCATCGTAGGATTGCTTTCTCTTTTCCTTAAAACAGATTAGCCAAGCAGACGACGTCCACAATGTAGCTGTTTAATCATAACTGTGCAGATAAAACTATTGCCTAATATAAAAACAAAAATTGAAATGATTGATTTAGAATTGAGGGGCCCGCTATGAGTTAGGGATGAACCGGCAGACCTCGATCTGATCCCACACTTCTGCCACATTCCTCGGCCATCCCTGCGCCGGAGCGGCCCGGCCGCTGGCGGCGTGGGGCGGGGTGGGGCGGGGTGGGGCGCAGCGCCGCCTTCCCGCCTCCTCCTCCCCTTCTTCCTCCTCCTCCTCCTCCCTTTCTTCCTCCTCGTCTCCGCCCTCCTCTCCTGACATGGCGGTCCCCGCAGAACCCTGCGGCCTCACGGACGAGGCAGCCTATGGCGCCTGCTCGGAGCCGGATGCCAGCACCAAGGTGGGGTGGTTGGGGGTGACGGGCGCTCCCCGGGGCTGTGGCGCCCGCTCCTCCCCGGTCCCCTCACGGCGCCTCAGCGGGCGGACGTGCGGGGCATGGAGGCCGGCATGGAGGCCGGCATGGGGCCGGGCTGGATCTCGGCGGCGCAGCGAAATGTGGCCGGGCCCGGAGCTGCCCTGGCGGCCTGTCTGTCGGGCAGCCCGGCGGGGTTCGTGGTCGTGGGGAGGGGTGGACGGGCCGGGCCGGGCCGGTCCCTGCGAGCCCCTGAACCCCGCGGGGCGCACTCGGCCGGGCCCGCGCCTGTCCTTGCTCTGAGCGAGCGTCCGGGGCGCTTCGGACAGGTCACTACCTGGGGGCACGGAAAAACCTGTCAAAACCCCCCAAACGTTTTACTTTTTATTAGCAGAACATTGTAGTTGAATTTTTAATTTTTTCCCCCCTTACCTCTGTCACCTATTACACCACTCTTTATCCCATTGGTTGTTCACAAGCCTCTTAGTATTTAGTTACCTTGGGGCTTCAAGAAAATTTTCTTACAGAGTGGTAGGCCGGTTTTGCTGCCAAGATATAATCAAGCTTGACAGAAGTTCAATACCTGTGAATTTATTATTTCAATACCATGAAATAATAAAAATAATGAGCTCAGGAGTCTAGGAGGCTCAATATTGAATATTCATGTGTCTGTTGCACGTGTATGTGAAGTTGTTCATGTATGCTACAGCCCCATAAAAGAATAATAAATATAAGGATACTCTGTTTTGGTGCATCTGGTAATACATACTGAATTATGGGCTTGTTTATTTGTTTTAAACATTATGTTACAAAGATGTATTTATTTAATACAAATTTGTATGTATAGAATCAGGACAAAAGTTGAAATAATTTTCTTTGTTACTTCTGAACCTCCTGGTTTTAGAGTCATTACTAACTGGCATCTTTGTTAATACCCATAATTCATTTCTGGTTGATGTATAAAGTATAAACTTTTTTTTTCCCCCACAGGATTTTATATTTCAGCAGACAATGTTAAGAGTAAAGGATCCTAAGAAGTCATTGGATTTTTATACAAGGGTACTTGGAATGATGTGAGTAGAATTTGTATGCCCTGATTGGTTTGGGGTTTTTTTCTGTTCTTCTGAAAATAATTTTTTTTTAGGATGTAATTATACTAATTGGTTTAACTACATAAACAATGCTGTCCCATCAGCTGATGCTTAGTTGGATGGTCTGGCAGTAAGCTGTAGATGTGTAAGGTGCAAATGAACTAATATTGGCCTTGACTAGAAATTTCTTTTTTTCTTAAATAGGTCATTAATTATCAGGGTACAACTTGCTTATTTCCTCTTCGCTGAGCCTGCAGCTCAGTAACTTTTATGACTGTGCTTATAATGAGGAGTCATTGTTAAAAATCTTGAAATTAAGTTTTTTCTGCTGGTTCTCAGAAGTGGCTTATGACTGCCTCCAGTCACATGAGAATAAGTAAATAAAGGGTGAAGACAAAGTCCAGGCTCAGTCTTATGGAGAGGGCTTTTGAAGGCAGATGCCATGCAGTAGTTTAACATGTTTATGCTGGGGCTTTTTGTTCATTCTTACCATTTGAGTTATTTCAAAACAAAATACTATGTTTGTAAACATCTTGAAATGAGTCCAGACTAAAGTAAAATAAATTGCTTCCACTGTAGTGAAAATGTGTGAAAATAAAAAATACCTTGTAAAAAAGAAATAAGATTAATTTTGCATGCCTACTTGTTCCAGTTAAATGCCTCAGATAAAATGTATGCTACATGTATTTTTAATTGACTAAATTGTCACATCACAAAGGCGTTTTATCATTATAGCTAGCTATTGAAATTGTAAATGTATCTAATCTAAAGGTATGTTTGTCTGGTACCAGTGAGGTCTCTAGAATGAGTAAGATTCAAAGTAGATATTTTTATTCCTTGGTGAAATTTTAAAGTGGTTAAAGGTTTTCCTATGAAAACACAGTCAAGTAACAGAGTGACAATCTGAAGATCGAAGCCTTTCTACTGACTTTTCTATTCAGTTACTTGTAGTTTGGTTTTTAAACATCTGATTCTTTTAAATTTTGTAGGTTTGTAATGTGTTTTTATTTTTGTAATGTATTTTTATTCGATGGTTTAAAATGTGGCTGTTTTAAGGTATGGATTATAGAAGAGCGGAAATTCATGGAAATAAATTTTCCATAAACCCATCTTGGTTTATTTGCAAGCTGCCTAACAATCCTTTTAAGTTACTATTTCAAAATAATTGTTGCCATTTAGACTGCTTCAAAAATTTGACTTTCCTACTATGAAGTTCTCACTCTATTTCCTGGGGTATGAAGATAAAAATGATATCCCGAAAGATAAAGCTGAGAGAACACCTTGGACCTTCTCTAGGAAAGCTACACTTGAACTGACACAGTAAGTATTTACATAAGGAGAGATTGCACTTTGCTAATAGTGATTAAATAGTATTGGATAAGTGTAAATTCCATTAGATTGAATAAAAAATTTAATCATTGCTGTGGATACATCTTCACTGTCATACAAATTTACAATATATCTGAGATTGGATATTTGGAAAGGTTAATCTTCCTCTTTCAGAACTCTTTCAAACTGCTAGGTGAACATTAATATGAAACAGTACTTGGTATATTTTTTAATCATGCCATCTGGGTAAGTAGTTTAGGGAAACCCAGTGTGGCTAGACCTTTCTTTGGATCCCCAAAGCATCCTAATAATGGGTAACTATTGCTTTTGGAATCTAATCTAAAGTGTTATTAAGTCAAAATGTGCTTCTTGTAAACAGGATAATTTGGTTAATGCTAGTAATCACTATAATTGTGCAGACACAATCTCCCAAACGCTGTCTTACTTAACTGCACTACCTGCTACCCTCACTTGCTGTTCCCCAGTGATGGGTAGTTAAACTGACTTGTGCAGCAAAACCATCTCTCTAATCTGAATGAGACAGGAGTATTTCTGACTCATTCAAATGTAGACCCTAAATAATAGCGAAGAAATGACATGACTGGATTAGTCCCAAGACCATCCCTGGAGCCCATGACTGGGGAAGTTTAATGAATGCAGCCAACAGCTGAAATTATCTGGGTTTTTTTAGGAAAAAAAAACAACTTACCCTCTCCAGGGAAACTGAACATTTAGATTTAATTAATTTTAATGCTTTTCTTCAATCTGTAATAATTGCTTCTTACAGCAACTGGGGCAGTGAAAATGATGACAGTCAGTCTTACCACAATGGCAATTCAGATCCCCGGGGATTTGGTAGGTCTTTAGTTTTGTGTTTATAGTTTTTAAGCTTTGAAATAACTTGTGCTAACTGTTGGAAAGTAGGGAAGTTGCCTTTCATCCTTTATCTGTCTTCTTTCAGCACGTATACTGTGAAAGATGATGAAAATAAATGAAGCAATGTGTTTCAGAGTAATGAGCCATAGTTACACTCTTTATCAAAAATCTAATCCTTTGGCAGGCAAACATATGCCAATTGTAACTATTGAGTGAAGAACATCAGTTGTGGTTGTGTATTAGATTATCATGGTGGTTAAACTGATTTCATCTTGGATTTCCACTTTATAATCCACTAGTTAACGATTGTATGGTAGAAAGACAATTCCATTTGTCTGTAGCACTGAGGATATTATTTGTGTGGCTTGATTTGGTAACTCTTGAGTGCTTGAAAGGTCACTGCTGTGAGATAAGTTTTCACACTGGTCCAGCCACTTGGCATTTAAAGCTCCTGAAGTGATCTGTAAGCTCAATCCTTGCATAGCACTAATGTCAGTCTCTGCAAAAACAGCATTGCTGATAAGCTCCATGTGCTGTTAAACAGAGCAAATATAACAAAATCCTGTTATGGAGCTGCAGTTCGATGAAGAACACACTGATATAACAGTTTGATTGAAAATCTTATGTTTCCTATTCTAAATAAAGTTCTTGTCTAAACAGCACAAGATACTTCAACTCAAAACATTCGTATTTAAAAGGCATTATCAAAAGACAGCTGTTTGAAGAAGAGTAATGTTAATACCCAAAAGGCTATTTCTGGAATTTTCTCTTAAATATGGTCATTGTTTATGTGAACTACAGCATGAAATACTGAACTTTTTTCACAGAACACTCAGCAATATTTATATTGCACTTCACTCTTTTTACTTTCTTTCACAGGACACATTGGAATTGCTGTTCCTGATGTTTATAAAGCTTGTAAGAGGTTTGAAGAACTAGGAGTGAAATTTGTGAAGAAACCAGATGATGGTAAGTCTTGATCAGAAATGCAAGTAATTTTTTTCCTTTGGTTTTAATATATTCTGTCTATGAGATCTTCCTGGAAAGCTGAGTAATGTGTTGCTAGGAGTTGCCACTGCTTAGAGGTTTCTAAAACCAGTTACCCCTGCACTGCCTTACAGAGTGGGCAAAACTGACAATAGATCCATCCCAGTAACAATAATACATCAGTCTGTGATGTGCCTTCTGTATGCAGCCTAACCTTCAGTAAAATTCACATTCTCTCTTGATGTCATAGTTTACATGTCATTTTATACTGCTGCCTAGAGTTGTTACAGAATTTACTGTTACATGGATCAGATTCACATGGCAAATCTGCTTGGTTCTTGTCTTAGGAAAGTAAGTCAGAAAACATAATAGTTCCCACTTATTTAAACCGAGTCATTCTTGACTTTCTGGCTATTTTCATGTAAATCCACCAAACACCTACTGTACAACCTACCAGCTGTTATATTTTTAACTGTTCTTTCAGCTTTGATAGGAGTAGCCCCATTAGTCTTTATCATAATTGACTTGCATAATGTATAGCACAAATATCTAGAGAGTATATATGCGAAGAATGCATATGTGAAAATATCCCAAAATGCAGAAGTGGTGAGAAGTCTTGCATTTTTCAGTAGGATTCTCTTTCATAGAAAGACCTCATGAGATTTTTAGGACTGATGCATGTAAAACCAGACATGTAATACTAGTAATTAAAAACAGATTTAAGTGATTTTCATCTTATTCACTGTGTTCTCAGCTGAAGCAAAATAAGAGATGTAGCTGAAAACTTAACTTGATTTCTTGAATTAAGAATAGATCTTGGTATTTCTAGCATTTTAGAGTTTCTGAGCCTTTTTTAATTTGTCTGTTTGTTAAACAGGGAGAGGCTTGAAATGAGAGTTGCTGACTTACAGCTGTGCAGTGGTAGGCATGAAAGTACATAGAAGAACAAGCTTAGACTATAAATGGAGAGAATCACAAGAAAGAACTCCTGAAGCAAAGGGTGGGGGCAGAGCAAAAGCTCTTCTTTGAAATTCAGAAACAAAATTGATGCAGCAAATGCCAAGGAGGAGAATGAAGTTTTGGGTTTAACATTGTTTGCAGAGCATGGTGGGAGATCAAGCATAGGGTTCATTTTCCTGCCTTAATGAATAAACATCCATTTTCTCCGTTGTTTTTGTGACTAGAATATATTAAGAGCTAGGCTGGGTCTGTTACAGTAAATAACTTAATGGAGCAAGTATAACTACAAGTGTGTGGTTAACACTTTAAAGATAACATGTTAAGCTGTGCTATCCTGATCTACTGTTGAAAACAACTTTTGGGGAGTCTGTTATAAGGAATAATATGGTTTCCAGCAGTAAAATTTATAACAATCCTGTCCTGCATTTCTTTGCTTTATGGAGTGGTGCAGAAGTATACTGTAAACCATGTCAGAGGTAAAAATTTTATGGTAAAATTTCATTGTGGAGTTGGGAATGATGGGAGATGAACAGGGCAGAGGAACACAGGATTTTTTACCAGCAAAGCCAGTTCAAGAAAATACATCAAAACATCCCCAGAGCACAGAAATATTTTCCTGAATTTTGAGGATGAGCACTTACTGGGGCATATGCAAAAAACTTCAATCTACAAAAGATTGAATTCCAAAGTGACTTTTAACTACAGCTTTATTGAGAGTAGGATTGACAGTTTTGCATACAGAGATCTAATGCCGATTAAAAACTAAGCTGGATGTTTTTAGAATTATCCGTCTAAATTTGAACTAATTCTCATGCAAAACTAAAAATATTTTTGAAAGTAGTCATATGTGACATTTAGAATCAGTCATGTAGTCTTCATTTTATCTTTTTTTTTTCCCTAATAGGTAAAATGAAAGGACTTGCATTTGTTCAGGATCCTGATGGCTACTGGATTGAAATTTTGAATCCTAAACACATGGTGACTCTCACTTAGTTCTAGCAAAGTATATTGTATAAGAGACTTACTTTCAGATTCCTGGAGAAAATCTGTAACAGTGTTTGAAAATTGCTTAATAGAGAGGAATCAGTCACGTTCAGAGTCTCCTCCAAAAATATCCCCTGGGACCTAACTTGGATTCCTTTTCTCTTCTCCTGTGATGCCATTGCCAATTGTTTCCAGTTAGGAATACTCAGTCATTTTCTGGAAGAGCACTTACACAGATTCTCCTCTTGAACATTGTTCATGTTAATATTTCAATAAACACTGTCAAAAGATATATGACCAGAAGCTCACTGCATCTCACACTGATTAGATTTAAACGAGCAACAACAACTCCTGTGTTACTACTGATGAGCATCAATGAGGAAGCAAAAAGAAATTTCAGTATATTTTTTAATGAAGTCAGAAGATCCTGAAGGCTTCATGTCCTAATTTGCATACTCGAAAATAAAATGTCAGGCTAATTTTGACTGGAGTAGTAGCTTGCTTATAGAAGTCATAATCTTATTTACATTATTCCAGGCAAAACTCTTTTAAGGAGCAGCCTTAAACTGTCTTGCAAAAAGAAATTTTATAGAGGGAATAAATTTGTACAGCAGAAAGAATTCAGTCTTTCAGCTCAGCTTCTGACTGCTGATTGATAGCCAAGAGAAGAGGTCTCATAGTTGCGAACTCACAGTGACCCTTGTCTCTTTCAACACTAGGAAGAACTTGCTCATAATTTTTGTTTCAGTAGAAGTCTGGGGCTAAATTTGACTTAAATTCTCTGTATATTCTGCTATAGAAAATGAATGAAAAAGATTCTCTGAAATAACTAGACATTTGATTGCCCTCCCAAAACAAGTGGTGGTACATACCTGTGAGCAGCAGGAAAACATGGAGCATTTCCATGTATTACACAAATCATAAAACCCTCTGCCTTGTCTTAATTCTGGTTGGAGCAGCACCTAACGTCTTCAGTTATGTGGCTATCAAATAATGTGTAGGGTAACCAAAGGCTAACAAATAGTGTAAAGGCATTGCAGTTCACTTCCCAATAAAACATCAGTGAAAAGTACAAGAAACTTTAACGCATGATGATGTGTTGCTTTGCTTTTTGTTGAATTCTAGATGACTGAAAGGCTTGCTGTTTTGCTTTGAGTATTCTGTTTGGAATCATTGTACTCAGCAATGAAATTTCTAGTGATCCTTTCCTCTGGACTCTTCACAGACCTCACTGGCCCACCTCTCATCTGTCTCCTGGACAGTCTTGGGAACCTGATCAATTGCTCGGTGATGGCCAGTGCCAAAGGGAGTTGGTTGCCTAAAAACTGGGTGAGGCGTGACTTCAGCTCCTGCTGTCATGTGCTGGGTCCAGGCAGTGGAAGGACCCTGAAAGCCCCCATGTGAGCAGAAAAGCCACACTATGAAAAGCCAGTGTCCACAAAGGAGACAGAAGAGTCCTGCAAATATATTCAAATAAAGGCAGAGTGTTCACTGGGGCACACGCCTGTTATAAACTCCCAGCCACATGTTGACCTCTTCTTTCCCCATTGGCTGAGGTACTAGGAAGGTACAGCCTTTCTGAACTGCCTACCACGTGCTTCCTCTTTAACATGTCATTTTCCCCCAAAATTCAGAAACTCTGGCTTGTGTGTGGACCCATTTGTCTGTTTCAGGAGTCAAATTGTCTGGGCTCTTACAATCCTGAGGCTTGAAGTTGGTAGAGAGATTAGGAACTATTTCAAAGGCATTAACACCTATACCCTGCCCATAGAATTGTTTGTAAAGACATAAACACACATCTTTCCTATCCTGTAGTCCAGTGGGTAACTACGTAAGTAGCAGCAGGCTATGCTAAAGCTTCTCTGCTTAGTAAGCAAAAAAAACCCCAAAACCAGAATTAGAAGTCTTTTAACCTGCAATGTTTTTTAAATATTTTAGACACAGAAAAACTTCTGAAATTGTTTCATGTTCCAACTGATTACAGGCCACTATTTTTGCTTCTTCCAAGGAAGGCTTCTTCTAAATAAAGCATGGAATTAAATAGCCTGTAGTGCTTTGCCTCCCGAAAGGCTTAAATTTAGCTTCATGCAGAGCAACACAAGTCACTCTCATGCTTACGCAGCGAGACAGGCCCACATTCCCCATTCCCGCTGGGAGAAGCTCTCCTGACGCAGGAAATCAGGACACGCAGCGGAGGGCAGGAGCTACGCACGCCGCTACCAAGGAAACAGGGATTTTGAAGGGAGCCAAGGAGCAGCGGACAGGGGTGGCGGGGAAGGTTAAACAGCGGTCGCTATTTCACAGTCCCTGCTGTCCGGCAGCGCCGCTATGTCCCGACCGCCGCGCTCCAGAGGCGGAGCAGGAAAAGCGGCGGTGGCGGCGTCGCTCCCGCGGCGGGGCGGAACCCACTGGCGTCATACGCAGCCGCTGCTGCCCAGTGACTTCAGCGCGCCGCCGGTGACGTATGAACGGCGGCGGGGCGGGGGGAGGAGGCCTCGGCGGCGGCGGGGCCGGTGAGTCCCGCGGGCAGGAGGGGCGCGGCGGCCGCGGCCCTGAGGCCGGGCGGGGTCCCGAGACTGCCTGGGGTCTTGAGCTGCTGCCATCGGCGGCTCCCGCCGGGCACGGGCAGGGCGACCTGGAGTGGGGCGGGGGAGCGCCGGCGTCCGGGGAAGGCGCCGGGCGCATTTGGCGGGGAAGCGGTTTCACCTGAAGTGCCTTGTTGTGGAGGCGAGGAGGGGCCGGCCGAGCGGGCTGGGGTCCCTTCCCCTGGCGCTTCCCGAGCTGGGGGTCAGTGGCGGCCCGGGCTGCCCCGGGCGCGACCTTGGGCGCATCGCCCGCGCTGGTCCGCGCCCGCCTCATCTGCTGCCCCCTTGTCCTGCCTCTGGCTTCACAAGGCTGTGCTATGGCCATCTAATTAGAATTTTATTTCTTAAGAAAATACAAGTTCAGTATTTTGACGCTTTCGTGGTACTCAATGTTTTCCGTGGTGCTTGGTGTCGTAGTAGTTTAATCACTCTGCAAGTTACGCACTGCTGTGATTCATTGAAATTACTCTTAACTTAGAAGACATATTATCAGTCTTTATAAAAACAACTTGCTGTTAACTTGTTAGCAATCTGCCGGTGATCTCGCTTGGCAAGCAATGCTTTTTGCTCATGTTTTTAAAGCATAGTAAACAGACCTTCTTAAAGTCCTGTGCTGGAATCGTTTAAGTTTTTATGTGTTTCAGGATTTAATTTGAGCCTGCTCACAGAGCAGCTGTGTTTGATGTGTCTTCTGTTACAACTCTAAATCCGGTGCTAGAACTGTTTTGTTGGGAATTCTACTCAAATTTAGCAAAAAAAAACCAAAAAACAAAAAAACCCCAAGATTTTTCATGAATGCCTTTTGAATGTATTTTGATAACACAGGCCAACTTGATAACATGCATTTCTTATAGGGAAGATACTTATGTATTACATTTTGGTCCTCAAAAACGAGAAGACTTTTCTCTGTAAAAAGCCTGGATTTGATTTGCAGGATTAAGGTGTGATTACTTGATAGTTCATGAGACTACCTAAAAATATTTTTTTCTGCCTTCTCTTCCTTTGTTCTCTTGAACATATCATGAGAGAATTCATAGATCAAGATATCATCCATTTAGCAAATTAAATACAGTTTATTTTTCTTCCTGGAAGGTTCAGTAATTTGTAATTGTTGAGAGAGACTCATTATGTTGGTTATGTATTTAAGCAAGTCAAGCTTCTATATTTCTTCATTCCTAACCTTACAGTTTTGTTTTGGTTTCCTGTTAAAAAAAAAAAAAAAGGCTTGTGCAATAGAAAGGTCTTGCAGCTGCCTTCAGTTTTGTAAAAAAAAAACCTACCAAAACCCAAATGAAATCCCCAACACTTTAGTTAGGCAAGAACACTGGGAGAATTTTGTCTGTGTAGGGAATAAAGCATGTGTGATGCAGTTTGTATAGACCTAGTTTAATTAGGACACCCATCTGGGAAAATGGTGTTTTCCAGGGGCATTAATGCTGTAGCAGAAATGTCAGGTTAGAATTTTTTAGCTTATAATGAATATGGTGATGTGTTATTGTCTTCTCTGATGGTTAAAAATATTAGCAGTCAAAATTAAATTAGGAGGACTCAGAATAGCAATACTATTCCTGTATTCTAATGTTTTTAGAAGTTTTCCTGTTAAATTGAAAGCTTTTTAAAGAATTTATTTCTGCAAGAAGTTGAATTGAGAAGTATGCATCTCTCATCATAAGGCTTTGTGCTCATCATTTCTGATGATGTGTATTTCATGCATTGTTCCAGGAAATGGTCCAGTTGTTGCTGTGCAGCTGGATGTTGCTGAATAACATTTCTATGAGCTTGCTGTTCAATCTGTCTGTTGTTCAGAATGGCAAAGAACCCTAATTTCCCGGAAGCGGGGAATCTGCCTACAGGCTACGCGCACTGTAGGTCTTCAGACAGCTTCACTGGTGAGTGGACCCGATGTGTTTTCTTGATATTTTAATGTTTTTGTTGTATGCCATTTTAACCAGGTTAATTTTTTATATATATGTTAATAAATAATCTGGACTAAGTATATTGTTATTTTGTTCTTGTACTTAGCTAAACTTATTCCCACTCTTCTGTGACAGGAAAGCATCTGAGGAGTGTGTAAAATGTTAGCACTACAGCACTTAAGTGACGGGAATGTGTTTGCAGATGAGCAGGGCATAACTTCCCATATGCTTTGAGTCAAAACATTTTTTGGTACTAAATTGCTGTTTAGAATGCTGTGATTGGATGGTGTGGTTAGTTTCCACTAATGTTACCATCTGCTTTCCTTTTAATCCTTTCACAACAGAAGGGTTGGAGATGGGACTTGAAAGTTCTGTGAATTGCGGTTATTTGAGTTTTCATAGTCTGTATTTATAAAGTAGTATGGGTGGATTGTTATTTCTATTTTTGGCTACAAAGTATCAAGATTTGTTTGTTTTTTCCCCTGTTACAATTTTTACTTAGGTTCAACTTTGGTTGAACCAACCATTGTTACTTAGAAGTACAAAGGATCTAGGGTTCTGACAGAACCAAAGTATTTGCACTTTGAATGTTGAAGTATTTACTGAAAATTTCTGTTTCCTGAGATTATATATTTATGAAAAGAAATATGTTTATCCATTGAAAACATAAACCATATGATTTGAGCCAGTGGTATGTTTGTACAGTAGTGTTACTGTTACACCTATCATGTTCTGGGAGTCTGTAGTAATAAAAATTGAGATTAAAGTAATATTTTACTTGAATTTATTTACAATATATAAAGTAATTATGAAGTAATTAATTACAAAAAAATTGAAATACTACTCAAGTACCATCCAATCAACTGCGAACCAATTTTTAGATAAAAGAGCAGTGTAAAAGAATTAAATTTAAGAAAATTCTCTTTGTGTAATTCTGATGAAAGTATTACCTTGCTTGGTACAAACTAGAGAATGTAGGAATTAGTTGTTTTAAGGGTATTAAATTATTTGATCAGTGTTTATAAACTGGACTTATTTAATGAAAAAAGTAATTCTAGCAATAATTTGTTTTCTTTCTTTTATTTCTAAAGTTTTGGTAGAGCTATCAGTTACGTAAGCATTCTTCACTCATGTTATATAAAATTTTTTTTCAAATAATTCATTATTAATTTCTTATATTCAATTTTCTACACCTGGTAGAAAAAGATCACTTCCATGTTTCATTGAAGCAGCACTGCTTTTCAGAGGATTCTTCAATGTTAACCTAAATGAGACAGGGAAGAGACTGAATGCTGATCTTTCATTGCAACTGAGAGTTGTTCAGAAAGGATGTTATTGCTGTTGTTGCTGAATTTCCTAGATCATGTTTTTGTATCCCATAACATGTTACATATTACCTGCTGAGTAGAAATACAGGAAACTGAAAGCATGGAGGGGGTGGTTGTTTCTCCAGGCACAGCACATATTATGTAGTATTGCATGCTGCTTTATGTCATAAATACCAGGCTGCATTTTTCACATGCTCAGTTATTGAAGGTAGCCACCAAATAGTGTGTCTTTCAGTGAGGTCAGAGAATTGTTTTTTAGGCCTTAGAACTTAACAAGTGCTTTTTCAGATTGTTGCAGTTCTAATGGTGCTTCAAAATCACTGAGAATACTTTTGTTTATTTATTTCTGTGTCATGACCAAAGCTGCAGCAGCTGACTCTTGAAGCAGTTAATTACCTCTGAATACCTCCTGGAAATAGGTTGTGGTGCTGGCAACAGGCGTACAAATGCCATGTTCTTTGACTGCCAGGAAGAGTAAGCGCCTGTATTCTCTGAAAAGGTGATGTTGTTTGATGACAGAAAATGCCAGAGGGAGCTTCAGGAAGGGCTCTGCCAAAGTTCTTAGCAGCATCCATTTTTTAATCATAAATAGTCCTTTTGAATAACAACTAGAAAAAGACATGCTTAGCTATACAGGGAAGTTGTGAGCTCATAGCAACTTTGCACGACTAAAGAGGTTATTAAGTTTTACTTCCTCAAACAAGAAATGTACAGATCGCTTAAAGGGTTACCTGAGTTTGTACCATTAATGAATCCAGCCTAGGAAGATAGTAATTAATGTATTATTTGGTTCTATATTTTGGAGGCAGGACTGTCTCACTGGTCTGCTTTATATGAAAAATCCACAATACAGACAGAACTTCTGTTGGAAATCTGTACTGGTAGACAACGGATGAGTTGCCATGTTTCTTCAATATACTGGTGGTACCCATAGTGCACAAAAAGGGTATGAATATGGTTTTGTAAAGGTGACAGTGCCCAACACTTTGGGTCATTCAAACATGTCAAAGGCCTCCTCAGCTTGTAGCCATCATGAGTCCATATATTTTCAGTGCTCAGCATGTTTGTGTTTGAAACTGATGGTGGAATAGTACATGGAACCAGCAATTCAGAGAGCATTACACATCAGAAGAAATTTGCCTTGCTGCTTACACACAGGCCGATATCTGAATTTCTACTTTCACTGATTGCTGTTCAGCATCTTGATGTTCATAAGAACTGGGCATCCTCAGTGAAATGAACAGGGTCTATGCCTTTATTAATGATCAGCTCTTTATTAAAAGGATCAGCTTGGCAGGGGGCTCGACAAGGAGCTCACCCCTGCTGTTGTAGCTTTTCCGGTAGCCAAAGGGTGAGGAGGCGTGCAGAGTCTGTCCCTGGAGTCTCCATGGCACACTGGTAGCTGTAGGTAAAGAGGTGTGCAGTCTGTTGCTGAAGTCCCAGCAGATCGTTCTCTCTCCCTTCCTCCTGGCACACTGGTTGCCGAAAGGTGAGGGGATGTGCAGAGCCTGCTGCCGAAGGCCAGCAGCAGCTATCCCTAGCCTTCCCTCCTGGTAACACCAGGATGTATGTGTTCCTTTGCTCCTGCTTCCCACAGTCCAGTCTGGTACTCTGCAGGTTATGGTGACCGGTCAAACGCAGACTAGAGATGTGGTTCCCTTTTCCATAACCAGCACACCCATCCAGCCCCCTTCACTGTGCCCAGCCTTCCATTTTAGGGGTGTTTTTCATCCCCAAAACCCCCTCCAATGATTCCACTGGATTATTTTGCATCCAGGTCCTAGTGTGGGTGGGGTTGTAGGTGATTCGCAGGAGCAATTAGCTAATTAACATTTCAGTGTCAGTACTTAGCCCAAGCCAAGTGTCCCAGCCAGGCTGTTTTGTTCATAACAAATCCATCCTCTATTTCTTTGATCGGGCTTAAGCCCGCATCAACTTACAGTCTCTGGCTTTTGAGGGTTAGCTTCTTTGGGTAATTCTCTTAATTCTGTATATCAGCTTTTAGCAAGTCTTCTTTAAAGTTAATTTAAAGTCTTTTGGTTCCTTAATTACTGTCCATGCACAGGAGGAGGTGGGTGACCCTGTTGGGTCTGGTCTGGTGTCTGGGGGTGGCACTGGTCCTTTTACTCTGGGGATATGGATCCAGCCTTTTTCTTGGGTTTGCACCGCAGTGTGTGTGGTGAGTAATACCTGGAAAGGTCCTTCGAATTTGGGGGTTAGTGGAGTGGTGGTGTTCTAGGATTTTATTAACACCTAATCCCCGGGACTGATGTTGTGGGCATTGGTATTCAGAGGGGAGGTTTGGGGGAGATACCTCTTCTTTCTGAGGCCTTCTGGGGATTTTCTTATGATTTTAAATATTTTTAAGTTGCTGCCTCCCCTTTTAAATAATCTGCGTACTGAAAGGGGTGGTTAGAATATAAGGAGAAACCCTTATGTCGGACCGAGGTCTTGTTCTGATGCTCAAGAGAGCAAGAGGTAAACACTTGAGCCAATTCATTTTTGTCTCTTCAATTAATTTGGTTATTATATTTTTAAGAGTTCTATTTATTCTTGCTACCCTTCCCGAGCTTTGAGGATGCCATGGGGTGTGCAATCTCTACCCTGTCCCCAGGGCTTTTGTTACTTTATGCAAAGTTCGAGCAACAAAATGTGGACCTCAGTTGAGTCAATGTTATTGACGAGCCCGTATTGAGGTATGATATTTTCTAAGATTATTCTTGGAACTTTTTGTGCGGTTTCCTTTTTGGTTGGGAAAGCCTCCACCTAGTGAGTGAGACATCTACGATCACTAGTAAATGTTTGTACCTCTGCACAGAGGGCATTTCAGTGAAATCTACTTGTATATTCTGGAAGGTCTTAAAGCAAGTTTTCCTCCCTCATGTACTGTTTTTCTCATTACCTTTTGGTCAGTTTTCAGGCAAATCACACGCCTTCTTGTGATTGCTTTTGCCAGGTCATACACTCTCATACATAAATTTTCCCGTAAAAAGTGGTCACACAAACCTTGGATTCCCCAGTGGGTCAATTCATGACTTGAACTACTATCTTTTTATCTCGTGGGATGATCCTTACCCTTAATTGGGCTTGCAAGTCTCTTCCTAAGAGATTACTTCTTAAATTTGGCAGATAGATAAAGTCTGCCAAAAATTGTCTAGAATTCCCCTTGATTTTTATATTTTTGGCTATAGATGTTTTAAATGGCCTTCCCTTCACTCCTAAAACCTCACAGACCTTCTTCCCAATGGTGACTCTTACTGGTAACTTGTGCTGGACTTATCTGCCCCTGTGTTAACTAAGAATTCAAAATTTTTATAGTGGGGACTTACTTTAAAGTTTACTAAGGGCTCTTCTTGATGGTTGATTGGATCTCTTCGCTTATAGAACCCCTGACACCCCTAGTCATCTCCCCTTGAAATCTCTTCTAAGACTTCTTGTTCTTTATGCATTGCTTCATTAAAATGAAACATAAGACACATTTTACTACAGTAATAGCACCTCCTGTTGCTTTGTGAAGCTTCAGGTTTCTTAAATTCATTGAAGTTCTTATTTGTCTCATATGATGGTGCTGGTTGGTCTCTATTTTTTTGTAATAGCCCTGGTCTATTCTAATTGACTTAAATGGCGGTGCTGGTGACTTGCCTGCTCTTATACTTTCTTGAGCAACTGCAACTATAAGTAATCTTAGGGCTTCTAGGTGTTGGTTTAGCTGATTATACATCTACTGATCTTGGGTTCCATACCATGACCCTGTAATTTTAACTCTGGCCATACTTCCGTACTCTTGTCTAAACCCTTTGTGATCTCCCAAGAATCTTATTGGTCTAACAATTGCCCTAAGGGCCTGTTAGGGGGAATTCTCTTTGCTTTTTTCTTTTGAAGGATCCGCTCCTTTGCTATAAAGGATGCTGTTTAGGGTTTTTTAACGTATTTTCTCATAGTATTTTTCCAGTAGAACCTCAAAGTGTATTTCTGTCATGAATATTTGACTTGAAATATTCATGTGTTAGGTGTGTGTAAGGTATGGCCTCATCATTTTGAGGTCCCATTTCTAGACTCAAAAAGAAAAGAAAAAATATACGTTAAATGGTGCTCCCCTCGAAAATGGAATATACAGTTTTGCAACTAGAGTTCATCTGGCTCCTTTTCACAATTTAGTATTTTAAATCTCTTGATTGAACTTAATCTCTTCTAGTTAATATCCCACTCTTGGCATTTATCTCTGTCTCTTGCCCAGGATAGCCACTAATTACACTCACATATATTGTCTTCTGCTTTCTCGTTCTTTTTGGACTTCTTCATGGACTTTCTAGTATTGGACCTCGGGTAGGTCTCGCCCAAATTCTTACTAGGCCTTTTGCCCAACCTCCTTACTAGGCTTAGGAAGCTTGGTCTCCCTGCCGAGGTAAGGTCGAATGTCCTGCCGAGCCTTACACTCGAACTCCGGCCAAGTCCCCTCGCCTGACTCCCCTACTAGGCTTAGGAAGCTTGGTCTCCCTGCCGAGCCTTACACTCAAACTCCGGCCAAGTCCCCTCACCTGACTGTCCTGCTAGGCTTAGAAAGCTTGGTCTCCCTGCCAAGGTAAGGTCAAACCTCCTGCCGAACCTTACACTCGAACTCTGGCCAAGTCCCCTTGCCTGACTCTTACTAGGCAATGCAAGTGGTAGAAATAGTCTATTATGATGAAAACTTGAAAATAAATTTGCTTTCATGTCAGGAGAGAAGAATGACTACAGTGTACTGTATTCTCATGGTTAGGCTGCCTCCAGTATCTTGGCCAGTGTTGCTGGTACTGTGCTGTGTTGGCTACACAGGCACACAGCTTCTAATTCAGTGGCAGAGACAGCCAGTGGAAACCTGGGAGTTTGTTCCCATTTGTGTTGTGATCTATGATTGATTTAGTATGCTGTATTTTTCTTAAATTTTATTTTCTATTTCTATCACTTTTTGTTTAGTTCTGAAATGAACAGGGCTAATGCTTTTATTAATGTTCAGCTCTTTATTAAAAAGATGAGCTGCGCAGGGTGCCCAACACAGAGCTCACTCCCACTCTTGTAGCTTTCCCAGGTAGCTGAAGGGTAAGGTGTCCAGAGCAGCAACTGTCCCCTCTCCTTTGTGGCACACTGGTAGCTGAAGGGTGAGGAGTCTGTTGCTGAAGTCCAGAACAACAGCTGTTCCCTTTCCCTGTGGTAACACCAGAAAATTCTGTCTCTTTTGTTTTTTGCTTCCCACAGCCTACTCTAGTTTAGTCTTTTGTAGGTGATGGTGACAGGACAAAAGTAGATCAGGGGATGTGTTTCCCTCTTCCTCAGCTAGGGCATTTGTCTAGCCCCCTCTGCTATGTTTAGTTCTTTATTTAGCGGTGTCTTTATCCCCTCAAAAACACTCCCATGCTCCCAAGGGTTTTTTATTTGCATTTTGGTCCCAGAATGGCAGCTTGGATGTGGGAGGCAAGTTATCTCTAGGTAGTTAGAGAAAACAAACAGAACAATTATCTAATTAACATTGCAATAGTGGTACTTAGCTAGAGCTAGCAGCTGTTCCAGTGTTGCCATGGGAACCAGGAAGGCCCTGTCCACCCAGCACACTGGTGGCACCAGAAACTTTGTTCGTTACAGTTCCATTTGAGGTTCTTCAGGACTGTGTTTCCACAGTATCTTGATTTTGGGTAAAGTGCAGGTAATAATTTACCCTAAGTGCATCTGTTTAGGGTTTTTTAACGTATTTTCTCATAGTATTTTTCCAGTAGAACCTCAAAGTGTATTTCTGTCATGAATATTTGACTTGAAATATTCATGTGTTAGGTGTGTGTAAGGTATGGCCTCATCATTTTCTTGGTTTGTGTGGTACACGGCCTTTCTTCGTTACTGGGTATCTGCCCATTTTAAAAAGTGGCTAGTAACTGGAGCAGGGAAGATACCTCTGAAGGTATGGATGGTCATTATCTGAAACAACCAACCTCTTTTTAAAGAAAAGTAAACCAAAATGTCACAGTAGAAGCCAACATAAGACCTAAATTCACTTTTGGGTGCTCTTGCCATTGAGACTGCAGAAAGCCTCTGTTGTCAAAATAAACCAAAACCATAAAAAGCTAAAACCTGTTCTGAATGAAGAAGAAACAAAAGAATTCCATAGAAGATATGGCTGATGAATTTATCTATATTGCATATTAGTGGGCAATCTCCTAATTTTATGACTGAGAGGTATCAAGGGAGTTGATTTTATACATGCATCTATATATATGTGCAGGAACAAGAAGTCATCAAGAAAACTGAGTGTAAAGAATAAGAAAATTGAATTGTACATTGTAAAGCTTTTCTCTCTGACAGACTGTGTTATTTATTAAAAGTTATCCTGATTGTTTATTTTCTCCCAATTCTGAAAAGCTGAATAGAAACCTGCAAAAACAGTTTTTACTTTTCACTGATTCTAGTACAGACTGGAGAGTTAAGACTAAGCTTAAATTGGTAACATTGCTTTTTTCTATTTTGCATGTGTGCATTTTTATCTGGATAAAATTGCTTTCTAAAGCTTTCTAAAGATGTAAAATAGTTTAATTTTTAATTCCCTTTGTTGGCAACTTTCTTTTAAGTAAATGAGTTGACTGAATAACAAGGTGATAATTCTCTGAAATACTTAGCTAAAATTGTTGGTGCCAGCTGTGTTGAGTCTGTTTGAAAATGAACTCTTGTAGAAAACCTCAGTTTAATTTTTCTTATATAATTACTTAGATTAGTCACTTTTTTGTTATTGCAGTTATGCTTGCTATTCTTAATATTTTTGCCCAGTGTGATACTGCTTTCTTTCTTTGTCCTTTAGGCTATCAGTATCACCATCCTTCCAAGATGAGTAACAGCCACCCGCTTCGTCCGTACACGGCTGTGGGGGAGATCGACCACGTCCACATTTTGTCAGAGCACATTGGTGCTCTAATGAACGGGGAGGATTACAGTGACGTTATCTTTATTGTGGAAAAGAAGCGTTTTCCAGCGCACAGAGTCATCCTGGCTGCTAGATGCCATTATTTCAGGTGAAGTAAGGCTTTTTGTCAGGCTCACAGGAAGCTTTTATGCAGATGAGATAAACATTATTTTCCTATGAACTTTTTAGGGTGTAATCATCTGTCCATTGAGTGTGACCTTTTCTGTGTGAATGTTTCCCATCACATCAAATAATTGTGTTCAAATAAAAAAAGATAAATACCATGTCACACTGTTATTCTTTTGACCTTCATTAAATTGGATTTTGAAGGTAGTTTCACAAATTCAAAAGAAAGAACTTGAGAGCAGGAAAGTACTACTGCAGAGTTGTTTTTATTTCTCAGAGTATAAATGGTGTGTTTCTATGGAATATAGTCACATAGCAAGTTGCATTTTAATGAATTTGAATTGAGAAGAGGTTTGGCTGACACAGACTAGAATATATGTTTTAAAACTAGGAATAATACTAATCCAACTTGTTTTAAGAGTTGGAGATTTTTCAATAGAAATACATTTAATATCCCAGTGAATTTTGTCGGAGGAATAAGCTACTAACTAAACAAAACTCTTTTCCCTTATAGAGCATTATTATATGGAGGAATGAGAGAATCTCAGCCTGAAGCAGAAATTCCACTTCAGGACACCACTGCAGAAGCATTTACCATGCTGTTGAAATACATTTACACTGGTCGTGCTACACTACGAGATGAGAAGGAAGAGGTTCTTCTTGACTTCTTAAGCCTAGCACATAAATACGGATTCCCAGAACTGGAGGATTCCACGTCTGAGTATCTTTGCACAATACTTAATATTCAGAATGTCTGTATGACTTTTGATGTTGCCAGTCTTTATTCTCTTCCCAAATTAACTTTTATGTGCTGTATGTTCATGGATAGAAATGCCCAAGAGGTGCTCTCCAGCGAAGGCTTCCTGTCACTTTCTAAGGTATATATTTAGTTTGTACTTTTTTTCCCCAAGGCTGCTAGTTTTAATGGTAATACAATTTTGTGATGAAATGCTAATGGGGGGCACCAATTAAAAACTTGTTATGTCAGCTCATAGTTATTTTATGGTTGTGAAACTGTGATGGTCGGAAATGCTCAAGATAAGCTGAACTGAATATTTTGGCAATCTATGCTGAATTTTTTAAGTATTGACCAGTCAATGTAGTTTATGTTTATAGTATATCTAATGGAGTGTTATAAAAGATAGCACCAGGCAATCTAATTTTAATTTGTCTTATTTCATCTGTTCCTGGTATAATATAATTTGGCTTCTGAATGCTGCAGAGGGGAAGTCAAATATAGACTTGACTATGACAGGACACTTTATTCTGTTAATTCCTTGATACAAGCTTCATCAGTGATGAGTGATTTTCTGCTGGGTGAACTAAAGCATTCTGGAGATTACTGTGATTTATATTGCTGATTGTCATCATGTTCTGAACTTGCAGAATATGGTGGTGTGGTATGGTGGTTTGGGTTTTTTGTGTGTTGTTTTTTTTGTTACATGTATATATTTGTGACTGAGTCCAGCTGTCCTATGAAGTTGAAATTTTGCACTTACTCTGGAGGGGTCTTTGGACTGGACTTAATAGTGAGAGTGTTTTCAAGTAGTGTTCACATGAAGCAGCAGAGCACCTTGAGTGAATGATGCTTTAATTGGGGAGAGCTGTGAAGGGTCTCTTCCTTGAATGAGCATGAGACACTGCTGTAAATAACTCATTGTATAAGGAAAAAAGACTGTACTTTGTCATATGCAGTTTGTTAAATCTGAGTCCTGAGAGTGTATTATCAATAAAGAAATGAGCAAACATCATTCATCAGGAAGTGCACGCTTTGAGGTCTTTGACATAGCCAATCCTGGTATATATGAGAGATCTTTCCTTTTTCTAGGCGAGCTCCTGATTATTTTGCTAGCTAAGTGAAAATAAAAAAGCTGTTTGATTATTTGTGTTCTCATTTTGCAGTCAGTGGGTTTTCTACATGAATAAGAGCCAGTGGAGTTTTTACCTGGTTATTCTTAATTGGTACCAAAAGAGGGAGAAAGATTGTGACAGGACAGAAATCCCAAGTAGTTAGAAATGGTTAAAAAAAGTGGTTTCAAGCAACACTTTTTTTCTCATCAGTGGTCTTATAGCAACCTAAGTTTAAAGGAATATTTTGAAATATACTGTTAAGTCCCCAAATCTCTTATAATCTAAAGTAAATTTGAACTACTGAATGGTATTACTCAATTTATTAGTTCTCTATTTTCTAATGTTTTTGTTATATTGTCTATTATTTTGTTCATGGATTCTGTAATTCTTGTGTAACTAAAACAATCTACAGTTTCAGGGAATCACCACTTTAAAGATTATTTTTAATAGCTATAATTTAAAATAGTCATTATTTTTTGCCTTATTTGAACTTTCCTTGATTTAAAAAAATAAAATTCAACTTAATTTCTGTTTATTTAGGGGGTATATTTTTTTGTTTTATTTATCTTTTCCAGGCTGCCCTTTTAAGTATTGTACTGAGAGACTCATTTGCAGCTCCTGAAAAAGACATTTTCCAAGCTTTGATGAACTGGTGTAAACATAACCCCAAGGAGAACCATGCTGATATCATGCAAGCAGTACGTTTGCCACTAATGAGTCTAACAGAACTACTGAATGTTGTAAGACCTTCTGGACTGTTGTCACCTGATGCCATCCTAGATGCCATTAAGATTCGTTCTGAGAGTCGGGACATGGACCTCAACTACAGGGGCATGCTAAGTAAGCATCAGGTTTTTTGTTTGTTTCCTTCTCATTTAGTGACTGGTTGTCTGGAGGACATGGTTAATTTGTGCTTTGAGTTTTCATCTATTACTGTGTGTTATAAAAGCTTTGTAGTATGAAACATCTTGTTCTGTAGCTGTTATTCCAAATTAATTCTTGATACTAGTAAATTATTTTCTTTCTTTGTATCTCAGATATTGCTCCAACATGAATGTAATACCATTTTCCTAGAGGGAGTGGTAATTGAATAGAAAAAGTTTTACAAAATCATTGAAAATTAAAATGAATTGGCTGAGAGATATATGATATTTAAATGGTTTTGTGTTGATAGTGATTTGGTTTTTACTTCATAAACATTTTCATAATTTCTTCACTACTTACGACTTTTCTCTTACTCTTCACATGCTTGTCTAAATAGTTTAAACAAGTCTCTGAAGTAGTTTTAATGAAAACTTTAAAAGTGTAAGAAGCCTTGTGTTTGACTTTTTTTCTGTGCTCTCTGTTAATTCAACAAGCGTATCGAACACTCGAGCTTTAAAAAGATATTGTTAACCATCTAATGTGTGAATGTGACCCACAGCAAAATAAAAAAACGTTCAATGCTCTTTTAAGAGTCTTCACTGTATTCTCAGTCATGCATGATGAGCCCTGAAAATTACTGCTATCTTAGAATTGCATATTCTTTGTTGTCCCTTAGAAGTTATAGTTATTATTATTTAAACATATGAGTTTAATATTAAGGTATTGTAAAAGTCTTGTTATGTGAGACATTCTGTTGACAATGCAGTTGATACATTTGAGTAAGTAAAATGGTCTTCCTTGCTTTTTCCTAATCACAGCTTTTTTGAGAGTGGGATTTCTTTGTTGTTTCAGTACTCATTCAGGGTCTTGAAACATTTTCTATTTGTGGAAATGTTGACGACCACTTAGACTTGAAATTCTGTTCTTTAGATGTCATATTTTTATCAGTCTGTTAAAATTCATACTTCTGTTGTCAACCTGCCTGGAAAGTTTGGGATAGCTTTTCATCATTTAGTTTTCAGATCGTACTTTCTAGCATCTCTTCTCAAAGAAGGCTGTTGTAAATGTCGTTTTGAAGAGGCTAGAGTATTGTTCTGTAATTGGAAGTTTGGGATCATTAATCTCAGCTTGAAGGAAGCTGTTCCTAGGATACAGTCTTATTACTGTGAAATGGTTGCATAAAAAACTTGCTTTTCCACGTTTGTTCAAAGCCCAAGTACCAAAAGTTTCCCATTTCACTTAAGTTAATTTAGCTTTGCAGGGTGCTGGAAGCTTGTATAGCTGTCAGAGGAGCATACATGGTTTTACTGCTGTATACACCACTCTGCAAATTCAGGATGCAAGTTGAATATCCTGCATCAGGATGCATTTTCTGTTTGATACACATCTTGTACTCTTAAGTTTCTTCCATTTAAAGTGGAAAAAAACCCCAATGAAACCAAAACCATAAGCAAACAACAGTTGGTAGGTGCAACAGAATTCTGTAAAATCATGAAAGGGACTTAGAATGGAGCTGCTACATAATAGTGAATTATTGCAGCTTTATTACCATAAAGCATGTAGGAGATACCAAATAAAATCAAAGAAGCTAAATTCTTTCAATGCCTCTTTTTTATCTTCTTTTCTTTTCCCTTTTTTTTTTTTTTTTCCCCTAGAGCACGTGTTTGTGGCCAAGAAAAGATACTAGCAATAAATCTTTGGTCTGACCTAATAGAGTTGATATTCAGAACATCAAATTTGCAGTATCAGAATGTAAAATTTAAGCAGCTATTTCCTTTTCTTCTTAGTCCCAGGGGAGAATATTGCAACAATGAAGTATGGAGCACAAGTTGTAAAAGGGGAGCTGAAGTCTGCTCTTTTGGATGGAGACACTCAGAACTATGACCTGGATCATGGATTCTCTCGACACCCTATCAACG